CGTGGAAATTTGAATCTTCCCAAAAATCATAATTATAATTATCGCGATAAGATTCATGGTTACAATATGACAGATTCTATTATAGAGAAAAGTATTTATTAATAATATTAGAAACTAGAAAAGTGGAGCTGGGTGTCTCTTTGTGATATAATTATAACATTTAATTTATCAGGATTCTGAGTTTTTGAAAAAAAAAATTGATTTTTATCTATGAAAAAGAAGTTTGAGTCGAGTCTTTGAAAAAGAAGTTTGAGTCGAGAAAAACGTTTAATCCAAATAAATATTTAATGTATGATTGTAGAGTCACGAGTACAAAATACTTATAAGGTTTTTTTAAAGTATATTTGGTCTCATATTTTTAATATAAAAAATAGACAAATGCAGTAGGAACTAAAATATCCTTGACTGAATAATGATAATTCTCTATGTAAACAACTTTCCTGTGATGTTTCATGTCTATGAATCATATCGCGATATTTATACATGATGTTTAAAAATTACACGCGCCTGGTTATATGGAGTATTATTATTTTATTGTACAAAAACTAAAAGTTGATTTCCTTTGAAATTTTGTGTTCAAATCTGCAATACTTTCATGTGTGAAGCTCTTTGATGCTGCTTATTTCATACGCTCGATAAAAAAAAATTATATTGAAAAACTGTTTCAAACTGTCTGCGTTCTATATTCTGATGAAAAATAAAGTGTTATAATGAGCTAATGATACAAGTTGAATAGTATAATTTAAGTATCTATTCGATAAAAAAAATTATGTTGAAAAAATGTTTCAAACTGTCTGCGGTTTATATTCTGATGATGAAAAAATAAAGTGTTATAATGAGCTAATGATACGAGTTCAATAGTATAATTTAAGTAATTATGATTTTCGTTCAAGCTGTTTTTTCAGTATTAGATTTGAATGGAGGAAGTCAGAAGTTGTTGTTCATAAAAGCTCTTTAACTCGCATGAAAACATGAAGCATGGCGAGAGAAAATAGTTGAGTCCAACCGTGGGAGTCTGGTCGTCGATTCTACCCTGCATATCCCCACTCTTACGTTGAAGACCGAGACTATCGAGGAAGAGGGGGGGGGGGATAAATTGAGGACGAAACTCATACTGTGAGGACTATATCCACTCCTCACCACTTTGTGCTTGCAAACAGATGGAAATAATTGCTTACGTATTCTGGTACTGTCCGCTGTATACAAAGGAAAGAACTGTTTTTATTAAGGCCTTGGAAAAATTGAAAATTGAATCATTCAATATAACTAAACTTCTAACGAATCCCTCATCCAAATTATGTTGAATCATTACAAACTATCTTCAGTCAATTAAAAAATTATTATAATTCATATTTCCCTCTCCATCCATATTCTTCCTTACCGACAACGACTATAATACAGAAACGTCCCCACAGAGGGATAACGGCCGCAAGACATTTCAGTACGTGCCATAAAAATAAAAGAAGAAGAAGAAGAAGACTATATCCATAGATCCTGCTAAAGGAATTGAACATTCCAGTGATATATATGTGATGATATAATTAATCTATTCAGTTAAGGTTATTTAGTGAAATGCATTGAGTAAATATCTCAATCGTAAAAATTCGGAAAAATCATTGTCGTCTCATGAGTCGATTCTATTGGATAAATAGTGTGCGATTAACGCAAAAAAAAATTCAGTGGCGTATGCTTGGGGTGATTTAGACACACGATAAGGAAATGTCATCGTAAGTAGTTCAATTCACGTTTTCATCTTTCGATAATTTTAAGGGAAGACAAGTATAAAATTGCTTTGTCTTCCATATAGTAGGGGAACGGGGGGTAAAACGGACCTTTCTGACTTTTACTCCATCATTAATAACTTAGCAATGAATTTATTAATCAGGATGAAACCAGGTGCGTTTCGAAGCAGAAAGATCATAGTTTCAGGTGAAGAAAAGCTATTCATTCATTCATTATTTGTTCATTTCATCAACAATTTTATGAGTTATTAATATTCTTCCACAAATCATGAAGGTCCGTTTCACCCGCCTTTCCCCTATAATTATTTTTATTTGCAAATAACTTATAGTAATATCTTTTCGAATAGACATTCTGTTTATTTTTTCTTTACCATGTATGTTGTTTTTAATTTTCACTTTTTATGTTTTATCAGTTGATAATTGAATCGGCTTATCACCCCAATCAAATCAAATGTTATCAATAAATTTTTATTCTACATCATTGAATGCATAACAAACATCATTCACAGGAGAAAAATGAAATTTTCAACGAAGTCAAATGAAAAATCAAATGAATGGTTATATATATTATTCATAATTATCTTCCATTTCAACAACATGACACCAAAATGTATATATTTTAAGCCAGAGTTGAATTCATTTCAAATGAGATAGTTGAAAATTTTCCCGGAAAGATTGTTCAAACAAAAATTTATTTCGCAATCAATTTCCCAAAAGATTTCCGCTTTCATTTTTGTCTCTCAGTTTATAACAATCAAATTGTATATTGTTTACAGTGTCAATTTACTGGAATCTTTTGAATTGTCATCTAATAAAATTCATTGACGTGACAACTTTGTAAGAATTTTGCCTTAATATTTATGGTGAGTTCAATTTTAATTTATTCTTTTCAATGAAACGCAATGTCATCAGCATGAAGCTTTAACAGTATTATTATTCATTTTTCAGGTTTCACTCAGCAGGCTTTGACGTTGGAAAATCGAAAAATATTATATTTATTATATATATTATATTAACTTAGAAATTATACTCTTAATTCATGTAAAATAATAAAATGAATAAATTTTCCCACGAATAAATACATTCACCTACGATTTCAGATTTTTCGTTTTTATGTACATACTCAATTTCAGCCCATAGCCATAAAAACTCTACTGTGAATCATTTTCATCCCTCGAGGAAAAATACTCAAAACAGTGAACGTTTTTCCCAGAAGAATTTACGCTGACTACAACAACCATAACCAATAACCAAAAAAGCAAACTCCAGACTGTAATATAAAAACAAATATCTACAGAACGAATCTGCCGAACGAAGTGAAAAAACAAAATAGAACAAAAGAGATCGTTAAATTACAGGAAAATACGACTTTCACAGAATAAAGAAAACTAACTGATCCTCAGATTATACAGATACAAAGATTTTCACTGGATACATTTCTCTTCCGATTACGAGAACTGAACTATAATTAAGTTGTATATACAACTATAATAATTCAATACAAATTGGAAAATTAATAATATCGATTCTGTAATATTAATAGCGATTCTGTTGGAAAACTATTTCATTTATATTATAATTTAAATGAATGAAAGCTAAATACCTATTTGAGCTTAACAAAAGAGAATTGTTGTCAATTTTGAAGTACAAAAAATTTTATTGACGTAGTGATTGTTCACATTAACGCTCCATTCATCTACTTCCGCGCTTTTCCATAAGAACTTACATCCAAAATTGATATTTCTGGGTTGCAGAGAGTTTTGAGACGAAATATTGCACTTGATCTATTCATCAAATTATTCTTCATTTTCGAGGTTCGAATAAAGTTCCAATTGATAAGATAAAAATTGATTGTGATTCCAATATGCCGAGACGTAAAATTCAAAGGACATCTGAGGAAGAAGCAGAATTGAAGAGAATTAGGCGTGAAAAAAACGCAGCCCAACAACGAAAATGTCAAAAAAAGTGTGCTGATCGTAATCTTGCGAGGCAACAAGACTTAATGATTAATCTAGGAACTTCATTGTCATTTTCATATCCAACTCCCACTGTCCTTGACATTGAATCCTCACCTACCGATGAGGTTCGTCATGCACGAGTTCACATACTCTCTGAAAATCTAAATATTCCAATGTACGTAGAATCAACTAAGAATATCGAAGAACATTACATAGGGCCCATGAATGTCTTATGTAGTTATTGCAATGCGAAACATTTTGCAAGCGAGAAAGTTTCTGGAAAAACAACATTTAATAGTTGCTGTAGTCATGGCGAGGTAAATTTGGAATCCCTACCCGAGCCACCGCAGGTTCTACGGGATTTATTTGATGGTAGTCATGAACAATCTAATCATTTCCATCAGCGTATACGTAGCTATAACAATTCTTTTGCATTCGCGTCTTTCAACGCAAATTTAGTCCACTTCAACGAAAGAAGACCTGGTCCATATTGCTTCAAGATAAATGGAGAGATTTATTATCAATTCAATACTTCTTTATATCCTCCTTTGAATGAGAGTCCGTCTTATGGTCAGCTTTTCATTATTGATCAAGAAGAAGCGACGCTACATCGATGTGATCAAATGTCGACATTGAATTCAGAATCAGTAGAAGCGATCGACAATGCTTTGCGAGAATCCAACATTTTTGCACAATCCTACAGAATGATGCATGAAGAACTGCAACAGGCAACGATCAATTCGGGCTCAGGAGTAGAACCCGAAACGCAACTATTATTTTCTTTGAAACCTGGTCTCGATAATAGGAGATACAATGTCCAGAAAATAAATGAAGTTGCTGCAATATTCACTACTACGGCTGATGGTAAAATTCCAGAGTCATACGTTTCCATACGTAATAAACAGATGCGAGAATTGACTTACGTTAGCACTATGGATCCGAATGTTGAGCCATGGATATATCCACTGTATTTTCCACACGGAACAAGAGGGTGGCATCAAGACATACAATGTATCAATCGTAATCGACGAGTTTCCCGAAATGCTTACATTAAGCTTAGAATGGCTAATCGAGGCGATAATGTGATCCTTAAAGGCAGCAGACTTTTTCAGCAGTGGGTAGTCGATAGTTACGTCAAGGTCGAAAAAGACAGAATAACTTATGATAAATTGAATCAAAAGCAATTGCGTGCTGATAGTTATCAAGGCTTAAAAGATCATTTACAGAGGAGGGCAAATGATAGAAATGCTCAAGTTGGAAAAATGGTCATTCTTCATCATTCATTGGCTCCCCTCGCAATATGGTGCAATTGTATCAAGATGCTATGACCATTGTGAGTAAATTTGGTAAACCTGATTTATTTATAACCATGACATGTAATCCTAACTGGCGTGAAATCAAGGAAAATTTGGTGCCCGAGCAAACCGCGTCTGATCGACCAGATATTGTCGCTCGCGTGTTCAACCAAAAAAAAAAGACCATCTGATTAGAAAAACTATCGTGAATGATAAATTATTTGGTCAAGTACTTGCATATGTATGGGTTGTTGAATATCAAAAGCGTGGTTTGCCTCATGTCCATTTATTATTGACGTTGAAAGCCGATCACAAGATAGCCACCCCTGATGCTGTTGATAAATACATTTCTGCAGAAATTCCAGATCCTAATGATGATCCCATTTTACATCAAGCTGTGATGAAACATATGATTCATGGCCCATGTGGTCATTGGTGTAAGGATGAAAAAGGCAAGTGTACAAAACATTTTCCCAAAGACTTCCAGGAAGATACAATTATGGATGAAAATGGATACCCGTTTTATCGCCGTAGGAACACAGGTGTTTATAATCGCCTGAATGGAAGTACATCAGAAAATCAACATGTAGTACCACACAATCGTAAATTAATGAAATTATACAACTGCCACATCAGTGTAGAAGTCGTAAGTAGTATTAAGGCTGTGAAGTACCTGTATAAATATGTAACGAAAGGACACGATGCTGCTGCTATTGAAGTATCCGATTCGGGTATTACTGAGAACGTAATTGAACACGATGAAATTCGCAATTTTCTCGAAACTAGATATGTTAGTCCTGTTGAAGCCTGTGATCGCATATTGAGTCACTCCTTACAAGACAAGAGTCATTCCGTTATGAGATTACCCGTGCACTTACCTAATCAACAAAACGTAACGTTCATTGATACGGCTGATGAAGGAGCTATACAAGATGCTCTGGAAAAAACGACAATGTTGACTGATTATTTCGCTCTGAATCAGCGAGATCTAGAGGCAAGAAAATTTACATATGCAGAAATCCCATCTCATTATGTATTCAAAAAAGCAAAAGGAGCTAATAAGGATAAATGGGGGAAAGCACATTTTAACGTGATTGGACGAATGTACTCCGTAGCACCGAGTCAAATTGAATTGTTTCACCTTCGTTTATTACTGATAAAAGTGAAACTAGCAACAAGTTTTGAAGAACTTACCACAGTTGATGGACAACGATGTGATACATTCCATGGTGCCTGTTTAGCAATGGGTCTAATCGCGGATGACACAGAATGGGAACGTGCAATGGTTGAAGGAGAAACTTGGATGATGCCCTTACAACTTCGACGATTATTCGTTCGGATATTGATTTACTGTCATTCCAATCATCCAGACACGCTTTGGGAGAAATTCAAAGATGCCATGTCTCAAGATTATCAAAGAAATTGTGAGGCTCATGAAGCAGAGCTCAGAGCTTATGCCCAAATAAAGGTATTCCTCACCGAAGAAGGTTCAGACATAAGTCGTTTTCCTAATATGCCTCAGATTGAAGAATTTGTAGCAAATATTGATGAGACAGTTGAAGAAGAACTTGAACAGAATGAAAAAATTGGCCGCGATCAGTACCACAAGCTAAATGTTAAACAAAAACAAATTGTAGATGAAATTCTAAAAGTTATATCATCCAACTCAGCAGGACAAACGAATACATGTTTCTATATTGATGGATCTGGGGGTTCTGGGAAGACGTTCATCTACACCACAATCTACCACTTATTAACAGGGACCTCCAAAAGCGTTTGCACGATGGCTTTCACTGGAATTGCGGCAATATTGCTTCCACATGGAAAGACTGTTCATAAAACTTTTGGTATGCCTGTACCTCTTTTTTCCGATTCTGTAGGAAATATCAAAAGTCAATCCAAAGAAGCTGAGTATTTGAAAAGTGTTGATGTGTTCATCTGGGATGAAGTCCCCATGGCACCGAGGTATGCCTTAGAGTTAGTTGATCGAACACTCCGTGACTTGATGAATGTGAATTTACCATTTGGAGAAAAAGTTGGAATTCTGGGCGGCGATTTCAGACAACTACTACCTGTGAAAACTCATGCAACTCGCAGCGAGATGGTCAATCTCTCCATCAAGTTTAGTGCATTATGGAGACATTTTTCAATGTTTTCTTTGACTGAAAACATGCGAGCACTTCCAGGAGAAGCAGAATTTTCGAAATACGTTTAATCTGGTGGGGATGGAGTTGCAAATGATAACAATAATAATTTGTTAGCTCCACAACAGTGTGTAACTCCACGAACAGATAACATCGTTGATGCCACATTCAGAAACCTGATAGAGGAACGAAGATTTGGTGACTTTGCTAATGTTGCAGTACTATCTGCACGGAATATTGATGTGGATGAAATTAACAGTAGAGTTGTAGAGATATTCGATAAAGAATCCGAGAAAATCTATACTAGCGTTGACAGTATTGATAATTATGATAATGGAGATATTTCCGATGCCATTTTACCAGAGTATTTGAATACTTTAAGCCCACCCGGTTTTCCACCCCATGAATTGAGATTGCGAAATAATTGCATTGTCATGCTTATTCGTAACCTCAGCATAAACGAAGGGTTATCTAATGGCACACGATTACAAATACTAGAACTGGCGAATAATCTTTTGAAATGTCGGATTCTCACAGGTGATAGATCAGGAGCTATAGTTTTCATACACCGCATCACATTATACTGCGAAGATATTTATCCTTTTACGTTCAAACGCCGTCAATTCCCAATAAAATTGGCTTTCGCCATGACTATTAACAGAAGTCAAGGACAAACATTCAATAAAATTGGCCTTGATCTTCGAAAAGATGTTTTCAACCACGGTCAACTATACGTTGCATTTTCACGAGTTCGATCATGGACTTCATTACAAATATTCTTAGGTGCTCAACGAGTCAATGATATCGTAAAAAATTATGTATACACTGAATTGTACCATTGATTTCATAATCTGCAACAATATTTAAACAACTGATAAGATCATGCGCACCAATAGGGCGCATCATTTTATTCATTCGAAAATTCCTGTGCCTTATTAACATGAAATGTTTTCGAACGAATTGGACATATATGTATAACATATATATATTCAATCATTCGTATCACACAGGCATACATACATTAGTTTATACAATACAATCAAGGATCCTTCATTTTCTGCGCGCTCAAGCGCGCGTTCGGTCTCGTGATAGTAAAAAACTTGGGACCACTTATGACCACATCATTAACCTTTCTTAAATGTTTCGGTTTGTGCTTTGATAGTTTTTGTTGGTAGTTGACTTGATTCTAATACTTTGACATTATGGTTATGTAACAGACTTACTTATATTTTATTCATTGACACATTGGTAACTTTTTCTTTTTTTTTTCCGTTAATTTTCAAGGTACTCTTTTCAGAGTTATTCTTCCTTTTGATGGAATAGGCTTCAATTCTTTAAAATCTCATACATTTCATTTTTTGACTAATTGTTTGTTAGGGTTTTTTAAAAATATTTTCTGAAGGCTCAAACAATTTAAATTGGTAAAGAAATGGAATTTGAGGACCAACATTTGAATTTGCATTTGCTGTGGCCGTTTGGGGCAGCACTTGTCCTTGTCTTTCATGTTAGTTTTTGTATTTGATTACAACAGTTGGAGGTTGTAATACACAATAACAACAATACCAGCGTGGTTTGGTTGCAACGTTTTCGCATAAAAACATCATTAAAAACGAATAGCTTTTTTTGGCTGAGGGGAGAGAAGGAAAAGGGTAGATAAATAGGTTCGCCAGGGAGGCGCCAAGTTTCAGGGAAGCAACAGATATCGTAGCTGGCAAAGGCATCGTGATTGGGTATGTTCTTGAGGCTCTGAAGGTTCCAAATTAAAATGCTGCAAGAAGCACTGATTGAGCGAGGATTTTTCTGGAGACACTCACGTTTTGAGTAGTTCCAATGAAAGCATATCCCATGAAGACAGTACTTGCTGTAGCCAAACTTTACCTCATGCTCGTGGCTCTGTGAGATGCCGCAATGGCACGCACTTTCTTGGAGACTTCATGTTCGCCCTTCCTCAAGTCCGGGTCGATGTAGATCTTCGTGCCTTTCACCTTGAATTTCGTGCTCATTATTGATTTTTTCAATATGCTGGTATCCAATGTTACAAGAATGGGCTTCAGAGGGCTGTACTAAATTCTCTATTTGAAAAGGAATTTTGAAGTCCTAAACGAGCTGATAAGACATGCTTCATATCAACAGTCAGGTTATCGGAAGATCTGGGGAGGGCCTTAACAACAATATTATCTTTCCTCAATTCTTTATTTGGGTTTTCGAGTCTCCAATAAAGATTGTTAAGTTGATCTGGTTGGATTGCCAGACACACATCAAGGTTAGCCTCGATGGCATCTACCCTGGGAGCCTGAGCACTATGAAAGCATGAAGGAATTTCCGATTCAAGTTTATGAGCTAATAATTTATATTTTTCATTGAATTTTTTTCTAACAACGGCGAATCGCTCGTTTGTTCTTTTGGCTTCACTTTGTAGTTCCTTCTTAAACATGAAGAATTCCGCTTTATTTGCTTCCGGAAATGAGGAAATCCTTGACTCAAGTGACTGGTGATTTGCATTCATTGTTGTCTTGATTTCCTGAAGTTGTTCCTGGAGTCGTGTAGAAAACTTTGGAGGTCTGGCGGCGGCGGAATTGGGAGTGGTAAGGACAAGATTGGAAGGGAATTAGCTGTGGGCTTCGAAGAGTAAGAACAAGGTACTGAACTGGAAAGCGTATGGGGTAATTCAGTGGGAGAGGAGATGCAGGGCCAGTAACTGAAGGTTCGGTTTCTTGATGGTCAGAGACTCCTCATTATGCGATATAGTCTCGAGGTCGGCTTCGGTTCTTTTTCTCTCAAAAATATCCCTACTGCAACCGTCCGAGAAGCTGCTGTTGGGGGCAAGTGCAATTGCCTTACGAGGTCTGCCTACTTTACTGCGCGTTGAGCGTAGTCTTGAAGATGAGGCTGCGGAGGACCACTAAGGAGTAACAACCTTTGACAAGTCCGAAAACGCAGTGCACGGCGTTGAGTTATCAACAGGAGTGAATGGCGTAGTGGCTTCAGGTGTCGAGTCAGATTCGGGTTGGGCTGTGCCAGGTAGGACATGAGAACATTCCGTTCATGGTGGCAGTTGATGAGGAAGGATCTCTGAAGATTTCCGAGCCTCTTCTCAGTTCATAAAGTAACAGAGCGACTCCTGAAAATATTTAAGTCAACTTGAAGTCGCAGGTGGGTCTTAATTGATGTAACCAAAATCTCATTTTAGGAGATGATAAATAAAATATGCCCAAATTCACTGTAATTTCTCGAACAGTTTAATGCCCCCTCCTTAATTAACGAACCCACCGTCACATGAAAAAAATACCTCAACCCGCAACGAAAAAAGGCGCACGTGGAACAGGCTGCTAGCTCAGAACAGAACACCTGAGGATCGGAGTAGTGTTGAGGATAGGTGTATTGTTATTTTAGGTTGATCTAAAAACAAGAAAAATATTTCACACTTTCTGACTGATTAAGTTTCATTGGTTAGGACTTAACAAAACAGAATTTGATGTCTCAGCTAAATAACAAGAGTGGAAAATTTGAGCTGGTGGAAGATAAATTAAGACGCTAGTCAACACCTGAGAAAAAGAAGTAAGACCTGTTTATTAGAATCAAAAACTCATTAAAATTGGCTCAAAAATTATTTTGAAAAAGTCAGTGGAGAAAACAAGAACCTATTTCTGTGAGTGATACCTTTGCACTCACTTATCCACATTACGGAGAACCAAAAAATCGACTTTGAAACATCTGTGATCGATCTCCACCAAACCTTTGATTGGCAGTTTTATAGTTATGTGAAAAATGTTCTCTCATATACCCTTTCGGGTGGTTACGATTTGTTTCCTTCCCACCCTCCAATCTCTCAAACCGTTTACGCCGAAGGACAAGGGAAAACCTCATTTGAGGGAAAAAAGGGCCCAGGTATAGTCGTCTCTTAGGAGACTCCCACTCGACAATGAAACCGTGAGATTTAGAGTGTCACAAATTTTGGCCTCCTCAGCGCAGAATCAAACTCGGGTCTCCCACATGCTAATCGCACACTCCAATGACACAGCCATCACCGTCGATTATTATAGTTGTGTATTTATTCTCGTTCAAGGTTCAGGAGTTTTTCGAGGGAATCTACCTTGCTTCATTACACGGTTACGGAATTGCAACATAATATATGATGCATGGAAAATACAATATTTAATCACAGATTATGTCTATTAACTTCGCGGCCCGAAGGTAGGAAGTTATTGCAATGACCTCGGAAATCGATTATGAAAATTTCATGATTTCTCCAGGTCTCATGATCCCTAGAAACTCTCCCAAAACTTTTTCGAAACCGATCTGCATGTGTGATGTATGTATGTGTTTGTGTGTATTCATGTGTTTTTTTTTTTTTTTTTTATGTCTGTTGGGAGAATGCATATATGCATCCCCACTTGCGGGAGCGAATCCTAGGGATTTTCTCCGACAACTGGGGTACGTCGGGCTCGGGTCACAAGGACCAATACCGACTAAACTCCAATCAGACAAATTCACTAACCTTTATTTCCCTCGCGGCACCACCGTAAAATATTACTTCGCGAGGGAGGTCTCAGCTCGTCGCTCTTCCACGTTTTCCATCTAGCGTGCTTCCCCTCATTCCGCTAAGGTGTTAGCTGTCAACGAGAGGTTCCATTAGATTTCACACCTATGCTGTAGCCGTGCACTCACGTTCTTCTTTGCTGAGTTCCTTGATGACTGCCGAAAGTTACTCGTTGCGTCCCAAGCTGTTTGCGATGACAGCATAGCTTCTGCCATGGTTTCAGGCAAAACCTCCCTTCCAAGGTCAGATTCCCAAACACGCTGAAGCGGGGGCATCTGAAAAGCATATGCTCCCCGTCTTCGTCGACTTCGGTGCAGACTGGGTACTTCACCCGGATAAACCCGGAAGCACCCATATCCCGAAAACATTTGCGTCAGGTAATAATTAACCTCACCATGTGTGCGCTTTAACCAAGCACTCACCCGTGGGATCAGCCAATGAGTCCATCTTCCCTTCGACGAGTTGTCCCACTTCTCCTGCCATTGCTGTGGACTCTTTCGTCTCTTTTCTGTGCTGAGTTCTATTGCGCTT